TCCTACAGCACCATATACAGCAAGAACACAGAACTTTTTGGAATGTTGAAAGAAAGGGTTGTAGGTGAGATACAGTTAGTACATGGCAAAGCTCCTAAGAAATTGAGATGACGACAACTACCTCTGGAATAGATATGAGCCTCAAAAATAGACGCAACTCTTCTACTGTACCAACAGATAGAGGTTGGCTGGAAGGTTGCTAGACAGATGATGAGGAATTCTGGTGTGAAGGTTCTTATTTTTGGTGGGGATTATTGTTATATAAGAAGCTCTGGTAGCGTAGGGGTTCCGGCTCAGACTGCTAACCTCAGAGTCAGCAGTTTGAAACTACCAGCCATTCCAAGGGAGGAAGATGAGGTTTTCTGCTCCTGTAATGATCTACAGCTTTGAGTTGCTATGACAGAACCAATTCCTGGCACACCACCACCACCATGACCACCACCATTGTTAAGTAAGAAATAGGCCATCTTCTAATGGGAAGGTATAAAAGGTCTGAGACCTGAGACTCAAAGAGAAAGAATTAAAAAGTTATTGTAGAAAATGGAAGTATTTGGTAACTGGGGATGTTGTGATGTGGTTGCCAATCAGTGTTGAAGGCTTGTTTAGGTGTGTAGGTCATCCATTAATAGCATATTTCTGTCTGTCCTGCATTCAGCAAATTCAGGGACAGAGAACAGGAACCATGGCTTTCAGCTAAGGTAGAATGGAGGGTGTAGGCTTTTGAAAAGAAGAGTGAGATTCTTTTAAAGTCTTGAGTTGTGGTCGAGCTAGACCACAGAAAGTTGAAATCACTGAGGATGATGGCACTCACTGTGTAAAAGGAGGTATAAAAGGAGGACCCTGAACACTGGGGGGGAAATCTTCCTGAGAGAAAATAGATAGTAGGAGGTTGATTGATTTTTGATGGCTAAAATCAGGAAGAGAATTGCATGGGCTTCAAAACACGAAGGGTGTGCTGGTGGTATGTTTTTGGCAAGAGAGTGGAGAATCCATGCCAGCAAGAGGCAATGGGAAGCCAGGCAATAGGGAAACCCAATCCCTGACTCTGAGGTTCCTGGTGGGGCAGAGGGGTACAGAAGCAGATACCACATGAGAAGGCTTGGAATGGAACCAGTGTCCTCTGAGAAAAGGTAAATTTCACTTAGGGCAAAACCATACTGTTCACAAAAGCAGTGTTTCTGAGAACACTGTAGAAATGTACTGATTTAGACCTAACCCATCTGTCAGTTTGTTGTACTGTGGTGGCTTGCATGTCACTGTGATGCTGGAAGCTGTGCCGCTGGTACTTTCAGGCAGGGTCACCCATGGTGGATAAATTTCAGTGAAGCCTCTAAATTAAGGCAGACCAGGAAGAAAGATCTGGTGATTTACCTTGGAAACATAGCCAGTAAAATCAAGCCTTATGGACCACACAGTGCATTGTCTGTGTCATTTGCTTTAGACATGTCATCAGAAGGGATTGATTGCTGGTGGAGGATGTCATTTGGTGAATTAGGGACTAACCAGTAAGGGTTAGTGACCTTGGATACAATGGCTTGGCACAATAGCTGCAAAAGCTGAACTCAGACATGCCAACAAGTGTGAGGATGATGCAGGGCTGGGCAACACTGTGTGCTGAGGTACATAAGAGACCCATGAGGAGGAGCCAACACCGTGGTGCCTGGCTGTGTATCACTAAGACGCTCTATATATAATCTGGAGTTTTCACTGCTCTAAGGTCACACTGCTAATTAATTGCTGTGGGGGAGCCTGTTCAGTTCTTACCTCAGTCGCAAATGAGCAGTTGGGGGAGTGTTGCAGAAGAAATAATGACTTCTTTTATTGAGAACAAAAATGGCAATGCCACGTATGGACGCAGAAGAAAAATGAATAGAAGCCATCAACTTAACCTTGATTTAGTAGATTGTGCATGAGACACTGGGATCTCTTTGTTAATGTGCAGTATCATTACCTTGGGTGAAAGAGAGGCTCTCCTGACTTTGAGCTATTGGTATTGATATGCAAGAAGACCCTTGACAAGTGTTTATCAAGTGCATCTGCAGTGTTACTGCGAACACCCAGTTGCCGCCTCTGTCAGTTTTTCCATGCTCATTTCACATGATGGACTTGTTTGGCAAATCCATCATCAAGTGGTGAGAAAACCAGAAGAGAGGAGGAAGCTGAGTCTGGATCATAAAGTAAAAGATGCTTTATGTTGGGATGGTCACTTGGACCTTTTATTATTTTGCTTTGACCCAGCTAAAACCCCTTTTAACACCTTGGGGGTTCTCAGTTCCCCATTTCAGTTTGCAGTCATTCTCCATGACATTTATGGAACATTTCTGACTCATTAGTTGAAATTAGAAGCCCTGGTGTTGCTAAATTTGTGTATTCAATAAACTTCAATCTATTTCTAAAAAATAAAATAAAATAAAAGATGCTGGCCTCTCTCATACTCTCCAAGGCTTCCTTCTCTTCGCCCTCCTTGGTCATCATGATTATTTGTAGTAAAGGAAGCAAATAGCCAGCAACGCAGTCCTCTGTGTCCGTTATTTAGTCGCTCAAAGCACAGTGGAAGAAAGGGTCCTGGCTAAATTGTCAACATGGACTTGAATTCTCAATGAGGAGCAAGAAAAAACTTGACTAGTTCTTATGCATTCATCTTAGGGAACTGAAATCCCCTGGCCTTCTAAATAAGGTGAGGCATTGGTGAGTTCCATGAGAGACTTTCTGACTTCAGGTGAGAGAAGTCCGCATTTGACTTCCAACCAGTGCGTCTCTTCTGGACACACCCCATATGTTGGTTTGCTGAATAAGTTTCAGTGAAGTTTCAGACAGACTTTGTCGAGCTGGAATCCCCTTACTATCTATTTTAACTTGGGCAAATATTGATCTCTCTGCATCTGTGTTTTCTGTTGTTGTTATTTTACCTATCTTTATAAGAAAGGATCCCTAGAAATGTAGTAATGTAGTAGATTATGAACTGGGCTGCAACCAAAAGGTCGGCAGGATGGCTCTATGGGAGAAAGATGAGGCTTTTTGTTCTCTTAAAGATTTACAGCCTCGGAAAACCCTGTGTAGGGTCTACATGAGTCAGAATCAAGTCCACAGCACATCGCCATCACCACTGTCTTTGTAGGAAGGAGCCTAGTGGCACTGTAGGATAAGCACTGGACTGCTAACCTCAAGATGGGTATTTCATACCCATCAATGCTATGAGTCGGAACTTACTCAAGGCACTTAATAACAGCAAAACAATATCTTTATAAGAAGAAGCCCTGGCTGTACTTTAGGATAAACACTGGACCACTAACTACAAGGTTGGCAGTTCAAACACACCAGCCACTCAGAGGGAGAAAGAGAGGCTTTCAGCTCCTGTAAATATTGACAGCCTCTGATACCATATACCAATAGGGTAACTATGAGTTAGAATCTACTCGAAGGCAGTAGGTTTGGTTTGGATCTTTAAAGAAGACACCTTAGTGGGTTAAGTGTTGGGCTGCTAACTGCAAGGTCAGCAGTTCAAATCCACCAGCTGCTCTATGGGAGAAGGTGAGGCAGGCTGCTGCAGCAAAGATTTGCAATCCTGAAAACCCTGTGGAGCAGTGTGACTGTCCTGTGGGGCCACTACAAGTCAAAATCAATGCAATACTTGTGGGATCTGTTTTCATAGGATTGTGGAGAAGGCAGTAATGCATTTAGCATAAAATCTGTGAAGCCCTTGATAGTTGCCATGGAGTCGGACTTGAGACCGTGGCAACCCCTGGCACAGTGGAACAAAATGCTTCCCAGTCCAGAGCCACCCCATCATGGTTGCAAATGTGACTCACAGGATTTTCATTGACTGATTTTCAGACTTAGATTGGTTTTCGGCAGTAGAAAGTAATGAATAAACATTAGCTATAATTACTACGCCAGACTGCAAAGTCATTTGGACTGCATTGTCGGTGGTTCAAGCTCACCAGCTGCTCCTTGGAAACTCTATACAGGGTCGCTGTGGGTTGGAACCGACTCAATGGCACTTACAACAACAACAACAAATAATTACACATTATGTTTACCATCTTGGTATTTTATTAATAGTTACTGTTAGGTCAGCTCCAATTCCTGGCGACCGTAGGTAGAACAGAAGAAAATGCTCTCTGGTCATGCACCATATTCATGAATCCTTGGTTAGCTACATGACAGATTGTCTGGATGAAGTCCCTAACCACAGATCTAATAGGAGGAAGTCACAAAGCAAGTCTACAAGTCATCTGTATGTAGTTGTGAATAATTTTCCTTATACATTACTTAGTGGACCTTTATGTAAGGACTTGGTCAATTTTTTTCCTGTCTCTTCCAATAGATATCATTATATGGAGAACTTCAAAGACCCTTAAGTATTTATCTCCAAAGTTCTCCAGTGTTTCCTGTAAGCTTTGTAATTTGATTGGTAGAAACAGACAGGATCCTTTATGTTTTATTTTATACAGTATTGTTAGACTATGAACACATTTTTTATGTTAACTGTTTTATCCAAATAGAAAGCATTTTAGGTGTAGATAAATAAGGATAATAACTGAAATATGATATTTGTATGTGCTGAGAACATTTTTTTCCTTATACATGTCTTTGTAACAACAAATAGTTCTTCTTATAAATTAATGTCAGAGAAAATATTTGGCCCAGCAGTTTGTGGTGGTAATATTCAATAGCCCAGCCTTTAATGTTTCCGGCACCAGGATCCCAACAAACTGGCGGCTCCAGTTATGAAACCTAATGAAGAGCAGGTCCACATGCACTTATTACTAAGATCATTTGAGGTCACACATAAATGTTTATCCATGTTGCTTTCTAAAATGGACCAAGCAGGTGTGTGGTTGTTTATTTGTTCATTGATGGGGCAAACAGATAGATCTTTCCATATCTGCAATTTGCCTTCATTCTACAGTCACCATTTAGTGGAAGACTTACGAGTCTATAACCATGTGTTTTTCCCTCAGCATTAACTTTACTGTCATGTGCCCATTCTTTTGCAGAGGTTACTACATAATAATTGTGCCTTTGAAGAAATCTCGTGGGAAATTTATCAAGCCCTGGGAGAGTCCAGATGAAATGGAACTAGATGAGGTAACTCTCTTTGTTGTGTGTCTTTCATTCATAATTTTGTTCATTTAAACCTCTTCCTCCTCCATAGTGCCCTTACACCATCTAAACCAGATGCTGGCTTCCATGTTGTGGGCTGGTCAGATGGTTTAGTGATAATAACAGTTTGTTAATTACAAGGGGCACCAACAAAAATCCTGTTGCTTCAATGAAAGCACATTAGCCTGCAATAAAGCCAAGGATCCGTCCAATCTTATATAGCTTTGATATTTTGCTCCTTGCCCCTTTTAAAACATGGTACAGAGGTAAGGGAGGTAAAGGGACTCATCAGCAAGACCTTCATCACCATTGCTGTGAATTCCAAGATCCATTTCATCATTTGAGGGTTGGTGCTGTAGGATAAGCACTCTACTGCAAGGTCGGCAGTTCAAACTCACCCGCTTCTCCTCGAAAACCCTGTACCTGAGTAGGAACCAACTCAACAGCAGTTAACAACACAATACAACAAGACTGTTATAGAGGTGCCCTGGGGGTACAGTGGTTAAAAAGGTCAGTTGAAAGGGTTGTGGTTAGAACTCACTAACCAGCCTGAAGGAGAAAAGGAGGGCAGTCTGCTTCCATAAAAGATTTACTTCCTTAGAAACCCTGGGGAGCAATTCAAAGCCATCTTACAGGGTCTCTCTGCTGGATTTGAAAGGTTGGTGCAAACACTAAATTGCCTTTGTATCAGAGTTTACCATTTGACTTACTGTGTGGTCTTCACAGATTGCTCCCAGAATTCTACCCATTAGCAAATGTTTGCCATATTCTTTATCTTATAGGTGTTCAGAATGCAAAATGCTTTTAAGTATGGAAGAAAGCAAACCAAATGTCCACATTTTGAGCAATACAATCGATAAAGTACAAAGAACAAAATAAACACAAAATCCTACGAATTTAATTTCAAAATCTTATAACAGTATTTAGTTTTGTGTTGTGTGGGGGAGTTATAAATAATATAAAGAATTAGACAAGATGATTTATACTAGATAGTGAGGCATTGACGGATCCTTAGTTGAAGTCTTACCTTCCACGTGGGAGACATAGGTTTGATTCCCAGCCTGTGCATCTCATGCACACTCAAGCTTGTGTGTTGCTATGAGGAAGAGCATATTTCAGAAGAGTTTCCAGACTCAAATACACTAGAAAGAAAGGTCTGGTAATCGCCTTCCAAAAATCAATCCGTGAAAACCCCCATGGTTCACAGTGATTCACAAATGAACAGCATTCATTCCAATGTGCATCGGGCATCCTGAGTCAGGGCTACTAGATAGTAGTTAGCATCAGCATCATGTCTGGGGAAGAAACCTGTATTCCAGAACCATAAGCAGCTCACCAGGGCCACAGCAGGATCATGGCTGAGGTTCAGACTGTTGAAATACAAGCTCGATCTTGTATCTTACCTTGATGCTATCGCACGTCAGTTCATAAGGCAAATCACCAGCCCCCATTTGGGGAACTGTGAGGTTTAATGTATTGGGTTGTGTGTTGCACCTCCCAGCCCAATCTGGTCTTCTAGACATTTTCTCCATTTCTAACTGATGTGGACTGGACAAGGAAAAGAGGAAACCCCTAAATGCATTAGCATGAGATGGCAGTGAATTCACGCACATGTGCGCGAAGGAGACTGTGCAATCTGACAGATGTGTGCCATCAGTTTCCTCAGGCAGACAGATGTCATCCCAAGGAGCGCTGTTCATCATCCCCGACTCCATTTGATCAGAGTTCAATTTCATCCCATTAAGAAGGGGACATGAGTGAAGGTTAGGCCAGTGCTTCCGTGTCCCCCTTTTCTGACGTTGTGGGTGATGGTGTAAAATTTCCCTAACACCACTCTCATCATGTCAGAGAATTTTGTTGTTGTTATTGTGTTGTTGTTAGGTGCCATCGAGTTGGTACTGACCCTGCACACAACAGAAGGAAACACTGCCTTGTCCTGCACCAACCTCACAGTTGTTGCTACGTTTGAGCCCAGTGCTGCTGCCACTGTGCCAATCCATCTCTTCGGGGGTCTTCCTCTTTGTCTCCAACACTCCACTTTGCCAAACATAATATCTTTCTCCAGGGACTGGTCCCTCCTGATAATATGTCCAAAGTATAAGAGATGGCATTCTGGCCAATCCTAGCTTCCAAGTATTCCAAAGAATTTAGAGGCCTAAAAATTGTTCTCTGTTGATAATAAACTAACAAGATCAGTACTCGGTGGTACTGGAGGAATAGTAACCCTTCATCTGAGGATGCCAGATGATTATCCACGGCCATCACATCAATTTGGCCTCATGGATACACCACAGGACAGAGCAGAACTGCCCCTGAGGTTTTCGGAGACTCTAAATCTTTACCAGAATAGCCAGCCTCATCTCTCTCCCTCAGCAACTGGCAGGTTTGAAATATGACCCTTATGATTACTTGCCCAGCACTTAACCCAGATGATTAGCTGGTCTTTTATAAGCGTTTTGAAGCAAGAAATGATGGTGGTGTTGCATAGGAAATGCCAATCACAAGGTTGAAGAATTAAACCTACCAGCAGCTCCTTGGAAACCAACCCTCTACAGGGTCACTATGAGTCAGAACTGACTCGATGGCACTTAACATCAACCACCACAGCAATGAGAGAAAAATTCTGCTGGTGGCAAAGAGTTTGTACTTAACTATTCACATGAAGGTTGGCTGTTCAAACCCACCCAGGAGTGCCATGGAAGAAAGTCCAGGCAGCCTGTGTCCATAAAGATTTCAGTCAAGAAAACTCTGTGGATCAGAGTTAAACTCTGCAAACATATGCGGTCTCCACGCATCAAACTCAACTTGAGGGCAATGGATATGGTTTTGATAATGAATATACTAGTGAAATACTCCTTATCATTTTCAACAAATCTCAGCTAGGGAACAGAATGATTAACATCTCATTTTAGTTGCATTTGGATTCAGAGTGCAAAAGCTACTTGTATTATCTGTGCATCTTTCTCTAAATATTAGAGCAAAACAATATTGTTAGAAGGCATTGAGATCCAAGCCCAAAATAACATCAAGAACCCTGAAATATCAAGCTTTCCTTCGAGTCATTTGATGGCAAGTTACAGGAAGTTGATTTGCTTTTACAGCCAGGTTTTAATCTCCAGCAGAAACAGCATAATACAGCAACGATACTGGGTTAAAGTATAGGGCTATATGACATTGAACTTCCTTGCAATTAAATTCTCCGGATGTGTGCTGCTGAGTCCCATAACTGAGGGTCATTTTAATCATCCCACAAAGTTGTGGTGCATTAATCTGTATAATAGTTTGATAAAGAACATTTATTAATTTGAAACTTTTGGGTCAGGATGGGTTGTTTCCCACTTTTCCTACTGATATAATTGAGACCACATTGTAGAATTAATGGTGGAAGAAATAAGATCTGCATTGACTGGAAAATGGAAATTATTTCTGATAAAGGACGAAAGTCCTTGGTATAGCTTCTGGAATTGTTTCCAGTACCTCTCGTAACTACTGTGGAGCAGAGCAAATGGAAGCAGGCTCCGACCCCCTTTATGCTTACTCACCCGGTTTCTGATACCTCCTGACAGATTTTTCTGTCTTTCTTTCTTTCTTAGCTATCATGGATAATAAAAGCATCACAGTAATTTAATCTAGAGCATGCTACTGCCAAGTTCAACAGAGCAGTATTCCTTTCTTAAATGTATTTGATCAAGTGATTAAAAAAAATGCCTATAATTCAAATTGTTGGAAGCACATTATGAAATAGAATGGTGGTTTGAGGGCATTTCCACCTGTATACCTCTCACCCAAGCCCTTAAAAAAATGGAAAGGATCCTTCTAAACAGAGTTACTCTCAAAATTACTTTCTGATCTCATTTATGCTTTGTCTGGAAATAGTCTTCAGGTGATAAATTCCTAAACTGAAACTGTTCTTGTCAAGGTCAGATTGGGAGCGCACGCACATTAATAGTCAAAATGAATCGTGGACAAAAGAACTCCCCAAACATGAGATACTTAATTCAGGGCAAGTCTTGTAATATATCAGAAGCTTTTCACAACATTGTATTTGAAAGGCTGACCTTAAAATAGCATAGCTTCACCATATTGGCTACTTTTGGTGTTTTCTGAACACTTGTGAGTTGTTTGCATACCACACAGGATGTGCACCCCCCAGTGACGATTGTTGTTGTTGTTGTGAAGTGCTATTGAGTCTGTTCTGACCCATAGCGACCCTGTATAGGGTTTTCAAGGAGCAGCTGGTGAGCTTGAACTGCTGACCTTGCAGTTCAAACGACTTTGCAGTCTGGAGCATTAACCCACAGCGCCACCTCAGGACTCCGCAGTGACGAGAGCACATTAAAGGTCAGGGTCAAGGTTGATGCATCAGGTTTGCCCTTCTTGAATGATTGATTTGGATTCAAGGAACACCAAACAACTGAAATATCTTATTATAAAATACTTCCTCAAGCCTGTCAAAGAAACCCTAGCATGGTATTGTGGGAATGACATCAGAGTGGATGAATGACAGACAGTAGCCTACATGTGGAACGTGAATGAAACTCAGTTGCAGTAGAAGAAGGGACACAGTCACATAAACTACTAATAGAAGATGTTTTGAATAAACCCACCTCCAGTGGCACTGTGGGTTAATATGCTCGACTGCATAGTCAGTTTGAATCACAAGGTCAGCAGTTCAAGCTCACCAGCCGCTTCTCGGAAATCCTATACAGTGTCGTTATGGGTTGGAACCAACTCAGTGGCACTTAACAACAACAAGAAGTATATCTGAAATGCTTTTGTTCTTCTCAAAGCCACAGGCTGCCGTCATGTGTTGTATACCAGCAATGACCTTTGACATGACTTTTCAAGCGTAACATGCGATTGAACTTTTTCGTCAGGATTCTTTAGTTCTTCTCTTTGTTAAATTTGCTTGTTAAAAGAATCCAAGAAAAATAAGTCCAAGGCACAACTTCATCTGTATTAAAGAAAGCAGATGCACAAAAAATATGTACAACTTAAGGTCCCTAGTGTGGTGCCATTGGTGAAGCTCTGTACTCCCTAACCAGAAGGGCAACAGTTCAAATCCACTATCTGCTCCTTGGAAACCCTATGCAAGGTCACTATGAGTTGGAACCACCTTAGTGGCATTTAACAACAACAACAATGTCCCTGAGTGGAACAAATGGTTTGTACTTAATGATGTGACAATGTGAACCTATCTGGTGGCACCTTGGTAGAAAGGTCTGGTGAGCTGCATCCCTAAAGATCACAGCCAAGAAACCCCCATGGAACAGGCCTATTCTGTAACACGTGGGGTTGCCATTCGTCAGCATTGTTGCTTGGTTTTCTTCTTCTTACATACAGATTGAGGCAAAGCCACTTAGATTCTGAGAGCGTAAGTGTTTCATCTGTGTTTTCTTGAAATTGTTGGTAAATGCCATTGAGTGAATTCTGACCCATATCAAACCTGTATAGGGTTTCAGAGGAACTGCTGATGAGCTTGAACCTCCGCTGACCTTGTAGTTCAAGCATACTTTGAGGTCCAGTGCCACACTAGGACTCTGGGATTTGCATCAGTACTGGCCAATTGATGCATAATTAATTGTTGTTGTTGTTGTTAAGTGCCGTCAAATCAGTTCTGACCCATAGCGACCTTGAACAGGGTTTCCGAGGCTGTAAATCTTTACGGGAGCAGAAAGCCTCCTCTTTCTCCTGCGGAGCAGCTGGTAGTTTCAAACTGCTGACCTTGCGGTTCACAGCCCAATCCATAACCACTACGTAAATCATCCCCAAAGGGTTGAGTGTGCACAAGTTATCCATTGTGTGACTCACCTGGCGAGATCTTTCTCCTCCTCCAGCAAACTTGACTGCAAGAGAAGTTGAGTTTACAAGAAAATGTGAGGAACCCACTCCAAATAGCTAACGAGGGAACCCAGTCAAGCCAGAAGTCGTTAAATGAGCAATGACACCTACTTAGTATGCAACTGTTAAAATATTTATTGGATTCTGTTTCAGGGGGTACTGTGGGTTAATGTGCTGGACCACAAGGTCAGTGGTTCAAGCTCACTAGCTGCTCCTCATAAACCCTTTACAGGGTCGCTGTGAGTCAGTACCGACTTGATGGCATTTAATAGCAGCATATCATATAAAGGAGTCCTGGTGTGGCACTGTGGGTTAATGTGCCAGACTGGAAAGCCATTTGAACTGTAAGGTTGATGGTTCAAGCTCACCAGTCGCTCCTTGGAATCCCTACACAGGCTCGCTATGGGTCGGAACTGACTCGACAGCATTTAATAACTACAACACATATTGCTCGTTACTAAGAACAATTAAAATATTACTGCTCTTGCAGCTGTCTGCTACCGTGTCAGTGCCGACTCATAGCGACCCTGAATAGGATTTCCAGGACTCCTGGTGTGGCTCTGTAGGATCAGTGCTAGACTGTGAATCAAGGTCAGCAGTTCATACTCGCCAGGTGCTCCTTGGGGATCCTATACAAGGTCATTCTGAGTCAGAGTCCACTCGATGGCACTTAACAACAAATCTTTATCGGCACAGAAAACCTCATCTGTGTCCCGCAGAGCAGCCATCAGGCCTTCTAAAATGTTATTATTGTTACTGTCATGTGCTGTGGAGTCGGTTCCGACTCCTGTACAGGGTTTCCGAGGCTGTAAATCTTTATGGGAGCAGAAAGCCTCATCTTTCTCCCACCGAACAGCTGGTATTTTCGAACTGCTGACCCTGAGGTTCACAGCCCGATTTGTAACCACTATGTTACCAGAGCTCCTTAAATGTTACTACCCCTTCCTAAAGTTTGGTCCTATGTGAAAGTTTAGATGGCTGTATCTGAGGTCATACTAGTTCAGTGAATCTCCATTCATGACAATCTTTTATTAAATAAATCAAGCTGATGTTTTTCCTTCTGTGAATTGTAATGTACTGTTGTCCTGTGGGAGGATTTCATTCATGTGGACAGTCATGTGATCACCCAGTAAAGACTTGAATGGCCCTGTGCTTATAGTGTGGCCCTTGCTGTATCAATCCAGTGTCTTACTTTTAACAGGAGGGATCATTTGAATGATCGAGGGAGTTGAAATTCATTGATGTTGACACACTACATGAAGTGTGAACCAATTGTATTTGGATTGTTCCCAAGCCCTATCATTCCTACCATTTAAATCTCATTAATTGGGGTTATTGTTGTTCATAGGTCTCTTTTTGTTTTGCACTTTTTTTTTTTTTTTTAACCTTAGCTGCTTAAGGAGATCTCCAGGAAACGCAGAAGCATCCGTTATGGGAGAGAAGTTGAATTAAAGCCATATATTGCTGCTCACTTTGATGTCCTGCCTACGGAATTCACGCTGGGGGACGACAAACATTATGGTGGATTCACAAACAAGCAGCTCCAAAGTGGTCAAGAATACGTCTTCTTTGTGTTAGCTGTGATGGAGCACGCAGAATCTGTAAGTGCCTTCTGGTAACTTCTGCTCTGGGTACTCTTTTACATTGTCACTAGCCCATCCTTAGGATTTCTCGTGAGCTGTCACTAATTTAAATGTAATAACAGGCTGCCTATGTTTTGGACATGATTGAATAGACATCTTGAGACTGCATTACAAACGAGGCTGTGTCTAGGATGACAGGGAATTTGGGAGACAGCTATTACACGGACTGTCAAATTGATAGGTCCTGGAGACCTTTTGATATTATCATATACATCTAAGCAGGGTGATAGCCACCAATGTTCACAATCTCCTTCCTCATAGTTTTTTTTTAATGACAACCAATCTCAAAGGAGTCTTGGTGTCAAAGGATATAATGGTTAAGTGTTCAGCTGCTAATTTAATAGTTAGTGGTTTGAACCCACCTACTAGCTTTACTATGGATGCGAAAGCTGGACAGTAAATAAGGAAGATTGTAGAAGAATTGATGCCTTTGAATTATGGTGTTGGAGGAGAATACTAAAAATGCCATGGACTGCCAAAAGGACCAATAGCTCTGTTTTGGAAGAGGTGCAGCCAGAGTGCTCCTTGGAGGCCAAGATGGCTAAACTTCGTCTCTCAAACTTCGGACACATTGTTAGGAGGTAACAGTCGCTAGAGAAGGATGTCATGCTGGGTAAGATGGAGGGTCAAAGAAAGAGAGAAAGACCCCCAGTGAGATGGAATGGCAAAGTGGTAGCATCAATGGACTCAAGCGTGGCAGCGGTAGTGAGGTTGGCCCAGGATCGGACATTGTTTCGTTCTGCTGTGCATGGGGTCACTATGAGTCGGTTCCGACTCGATGGCACCTGACAACAACAACAACAACAACTAGCTTTCCAGAGTCCTGGTGTGATGTTGTAGGTTAACGTGCTGGGCTGCAAGGTCACTTTGAACTGCAAGGTTGGTGATTCAAGCTTACCAGCCATTCCTCAAAATCCCTATACAGGGTTGCTACGAGTTGGTTGCACTTAGTGAAAACACCAAATGGCTTTACAAGAGAAAGACTTAGCAGTCTGCTCCCCTAAAGATTACAGCTAGGAAACCTATGGCAGCAATTCTACACTGTTGGTTAGGGCCCCAGTGAGTAAAAAACCAACTTGTCTGTACCTAGGCACAACATTATTATCCTGTATAGTATCTCATAGACATTAGCTCGTGTGATAACAGTGGGACTTTAGAAGCTCTGAAATTCAGCACAGTATATTATTTCCAAGTAGTTGAAGATACTGAGTCTGAAAATGGTGGTATTTTTTCTCCTCTATCTGTCATGGAGACCTCAATGGTGTCTCTCCAGATTCATGGAGAAGGTGTGTCTAGGAAACAGTGAGAGCTAGCTCCTGTAACTGTGACAATTGACCAATGACTTTATCCATGAAGAGCTAAGAGAGTTAGAAAATAATCCAATAAAAGGGTGAATTCCTACTGTGTGCTATATAATGAGTTGTCTTTCTTTATGTAATTCTTCTCTCGCTCTTGTGTCATTTTATGCTTGAGTCCCTCTAAGTATGTAAAATAAAAAGAGAGACAGGAAATTGCAGGTAGGAATGGAAGGTTGGATTTTGAAGTAGTCATCCACATTTACATTGAATATACCCATTCCAGACTTTTATCTTTCTAATGGGAACCCAAATCAGACAGACCTGGCAATTCAGCTGAATCAGTCCCTTTCAGAATATTCAAAGCCCACAGCGATCAAAGGTTCGTGGAGATCAGCTGTGAACACATATAGTGGGGCTTCTCTTCAAATGACTGAAGGATTTCCCCTGTGGAAAATCAAAACACAAAGTCAGCCTTTCTGCACAGAATTTTACCACCGCACAGAATGCCATTTGAAAACAAAGTGTCAGGCTTCCTGGAATTTTGAATGCACAGATATGCTTCCTCTTTCTAGTTGTGGCTTTTAAAGCAAAACATCAAGGGAATAAAATGTTGGATATCATCCCTTTTTTTAACAGGGGGGAGAAAAAAAGAGACTTTTAGATGTTTAAGAGGAATTTTCTTTAAACAGCACTAGAACCGTTCTGAAAAAGCACTTTGATAGCCTTGAGGTAGATCAGAGAATCCAGCAATGAAGAGAATTGCGTCTGATCCAGGCTGATTATACCACCCTCGGAGACTCTGGTCTCTGGCCTCTCCCTAGCATTCCCAATAGCACGCACTTATGTCACCATTGATGAGGAATCTACCCCTTTCCTTTTTAGGCCATCTATGGGGACACTGATTTTATAATTAGGGTTATGTTTTTTCCAACATGCCATTCACATTTCTCCTTTTTCATATTTTTCTTCTCATTGTCCTCAAAGTTAACAACATTGATGCTTCATAGACTCTTCCCACCGAGCAGGGCTTTGTAGCCATCCAGTGTGTTTGCCGTTGTGGAATTATTTTATAAGCCTCAGATATTCTTGGCTGATTGTTCTAGAAAGAGCCCAGTCACTCTACTCCAGGAGTGCACTGATAATTTGCATCAAAATAATATCACCTCACATCCTCACTTACTTGTCCCCAAAGAAAGCTTTTCCCAAGTCACTGTCTCAGATTAAGAATACCAGAAGGCTAGTTTCGAATCATCTATGGTGTAATGTTTTCTATTACCCCTACACTCTGAACAAATTCTACTTTTCATAAAGCTGGTATCATTTATGGCTTTGTGTTCTTTTCATTTTTATTTCTATGTCCTGATTTGGGATGGAAATGGAAACATCTTTGTGCTTTGGGAAAATCTGGGCTTAGTTTTCCATCTCAGTAGACCAAGATTATTATCTAAAAGACTCTTAGTAAGGAATTTCAAATCAGAAAATTTTGCTTGATTCTATGCACTGAACAATTTGAGTGTAATTTACGAACGGCAAGGCGAGACTATGAACCCAAACAAACAATTATTTAAAGAATCATATTCTCAAATATATAGGCAGCTTGCTAAGGCCTTTTGGTAAACCTTTGTACCATGTATATCCCTCTTCCTTCCATCCACCCTTCCATCCTTCTTTCTTTGAGCTGTTTCTGGGACAGTTGGAACTATATAGGGGTTGCATCTTCTTTTGATGCTTTTGAAAATCTGAAACTCTAGTTTATCTCTTTCCTGGGCATATTCAAGAAAAGAAGATGTTAAGCTTTTCTCTGGTGACCCAGTTTCCTCCACCATTGACTTTTCAGTGGAAGAAAGGGGGGTATACCAGCTGTCTGTGAAGCTTATAGTCTTCAAACTGATTGTTATGGTTTCATACTTAAGGAAATAGGCCTGAATCTAAACTTCTGGAAATTCAGACTTTAAAAAAAAAAAAATGTGAACATATTGAGTGTTCTTGACAAATGAGCTGATGCGCTCATGTCTTGGTTGCATTGCCACTTAACAAGATGACCAGTTTTTTGCATTCTACAGATACTTTGCTGTTGTTGTTGTTGTTGTGAAGTGCCGTCGAGTTGATTCCAACCCATAGTGACCCTGTAGAGGGTCTCCAATAAGCAGCTAGTGAGCTTGAACCATGGACGTTGCAATTCAAACGACTTTGCAGTCTGACGCATTAGCCCAGTGTGCACAGTTAATACAAATTCTCTACACCTTGCTGTAAGCATACAAAGCCGTGTAGAATATTAGTCCTTACCTGATAGGGATTTATAGTCTCATTGAAGAAAATGAGGCGTATACAAAAGTTTTTAAAAGCAGAATTTGGTGAATGTCATGTTAAATAAAAGGAATAATGGGATATTTGAACATGTTGGATTTGTTATTTTATGAATATATTTTTACAAAGCCATTATATATATATATATCTGAAGTAGACCCTCCTTTTTTCTTTTTTTTTCCTTCCAGAAGATGTATGCAACCAGCCCCTACTCTGACCCAGTCGTGTCCATGGACCTGGACCCTCAGCCAATCACGGATGAAGAAGAAGGCTTGATTTGGGTTGTAGGTCCTGTCCTTGCTGTAGTCTTTATCATCTGCATTGTCATAGCTATTCTCCTCTACAAAAGGTAGGCTTGCGCCATATTCCTGCTGATGCCCCAGACTTGACAGCCATTCTGTGTTCATGGCATGCTTAACTGTAGTAGCAATGTCCCATTACAGCCCTAGTATGTTTTCGAAGCGTGTTTCCACTCGAGCTAGAAACTTGAGTGATGGTGCTATTTAAATCCCATGCAACATGTGGTATGTCCACACTTGGTTGTTAAAGGATTCTCCCTGCCATCCTCTGGAGCTGCTTTAGTAGACACTCCAAGACATCATTCCCATGCAAGTTTGCATTGGATTGTTTTAAATGATCAGTTGCAAAGTGTCAGAATTTTTTGAAACATTGTCGAATGCACACATCTGTGTTCATTTCATAAGTCAAACATGCCAGTGTGCTGAGATGTTTTTCCTTGTAGTTGTTGCTCAAAATTTTAGCTAAAACTTGAGAATTAAATAAGAAAAATGAGAGAGAAGGAAGAGAATGAATTGAACTCTTTTTCCTACCCCACCCAACCCCCGTTTTATTTCTAACCCTTATTCCACATCTTTAATAGTGTGTTTTCATTTTTGTCTAAGAAGTGGTGAGCAGATCTGATTTTCCTTTATAAGAAAACGCAAGACCAGTCTTTGAAGTGTTTTGGATTTCTGTTCTCATGAAGTGCTGTTGAGTCAGTTGTGACTCATAGTAACCCAGGAGAGGCTTTCGAAGGAGTGAATGGTGAGTTTGAACCACCGATCTTGTGGTTCAAACCAACCTTCCAGTCCTGTACTTAACCTACAGCACCACACCAGAAGTCCAGACTTTAATTAGAATCCAAACATTTCATATCTGCTCAATCATTTCTAATCTTCCTTTCTTTTCCTGCCTCCTTTATATGTAAGCAAGATTTTATTCCCTAGTGCCCTGCCAAGTTATTTAGATAAAGAACATCATTATTATCATAATTCTTTTTCACCCTAAGTATGTTGTTGTTGTGAAGTGCCATCGAGTCGATTCCGACCCACAGTAACCCTGTATAGGGTTTCCGAGGAGCAGCTGGTGAGCTTGAACCACCAACCTTGCAGTTCAAACGACTTTGCAGTCTGATGCATTAAACCACAGCTCTCCACCAGGACTCCTCCCTTAGGGGAGGACTTAAAAAGATCACTATGAAATGATTAAAGATATATATATATTTTATTTATTTATTTATTTTTAAGTACAAAGGAATTCTCGTGTGGCACTGTAGGATAAATGCTGCACTGGACTGTTAACAACAAAGTCGGTGGTTCAAACCCACCAACTACTCCTTAGAAACCCTATACAGGTTCATTATGAATCAGAACTGACTCGACGGCACTTCACAACAACAACAAAATTTATAAAACACTTAACAGTATTTTAAATAATTAGATCCCATAAATCTGGAAGTACCTTCCTTTATGTCAGCCTTGTTCTCATCAAATCCTATTTCTGTAAAACTTTAATCTCTGTGTTATCATTTCCCACTGTAGTGTGGTATCCCTCCGAATTCCAATGTAAAGAGAATCCCTTCTCTTCACCAAAAGACCGCTTCTCTCCATATGTCTCTTTATCTGACTCGGTCCCTTTCTTTCCCTCTATAACCTTGTACATCAAAATCAAATGAAATGCTTTCACTTTGATTCAGCTGCAGCGATTAATCTTATAATCTTGTTTACATACTTTCTTTTTTCCTACCCATGTAACTTGTTCCATTGGAATTATATGAATTATTTCTGCCCCAGCCCCTTCTTAAATATGTTCTTCTTATGTTCCTGAACTAGTGTTAAAATGTGGTGCTTTAGGATAAGCGCAAGACTGCAAGGTCAGTTTGAACCACAAGGTTGATAGTTCAAACTCACCAGTTGCTCCTCAGAAACTATATACTGGATCGCCGTGAGTCGGAATCAACTCAATGGCACTTAATAACAACAGTCATGCATGTGTATATACAGGGAGAGCGGGACTGAGGGGAAAGAGAGAGGGTCCTGGCAGAATTGCGGCTTATGCACTGGACTGCTAACCACAAAGTCAGCAGTTCGAAGCCATCAGCCACTCTGCTGGAGAAATATGAGGCTTATAGCCTTGGAAACCATTTATAGGGTTGCTGTGAGTTGGAATGAACTTGATGGTACATCGCGGTAGCAGCAGCTGTCAGGTGTTTTTGTTGTTAGGTGCTTAACTGGCTCGGAACCATAGCGATCCTATGCACAGCAGAACAAAACTGCCCTGAGCTGTGCCATCCTCACAATTATTGTTTTGCTTGAGCCCATTGCTTCTGCCACTGTGCCAATGCAGCCTACGTTCCTACTACCTACATTTCATATTCTGATTATTCATGAATATTTACAGCTGTTTCTCTTCATTTTGAGTTGTACCAAAAGGTACCAACAACTTGACTCTGTTCATGTCATCATGGTCAGCTCTACTTTGAGATGGCAGCTCTTTCTCAGTCATAATTTCCAGTGCCTCCTAACCTAAGGGAATCCTCTTCTGCCACTATGCCTGACAATATATTCTGATGCTTTTTGCAGTGTTTTCATCTTCCAGCGCTCTATCTGACAGTGTTACACTGCTTGTCAGAAGGTTTTCACTGGCTACACATTCAGAAATAGTCTGACTCTCCTTCTTCCTAGCCTGTCTTAGTCTGGAAGTTGTCAGGAAACCTGTCCACAATGGTTGACCCTGCTGATATTTAAAATACTGGTGGCATAGCTTCCAGAATCACAGCAACATGCAGGCCACAGTATGACAGATGGACAAGTGGTGGACATATATATGCACATACATATATCTGTAGGGTAAGCATAGGGCTGCAAGGTTAGCAGTTCAAACTCACCAGTTGCTCCTTAGAAACCCTATACTGTGTCACTATGAGTTGGAACTGACTCAATGGCACTTAACCACAACCATCTCTCATTTTCACTCTAAACTATCCTTTAAAACACTTCCGTGTTGAAAAAAATTTTCCCTCTCCTTTATGATTGCATTCTATTTATTCCAGTGTGAAGAGTAGAGTGAAAAAAAATGAAAACAGATTAAGAAAATTCATGACCAGAACCTACAAATTATCTCTTTTAGAACCAGAAAGAATAAAAAAAAAAAAGCCAGCATTATTTTTTTTTCCTGATTAGCTCTTTCACTCAGTGAGCTATGCTGAAAAAGCAAGTGTTTGGAGGCCAAAAGTTCCTCTCAGTAGCTGCCTTCCGTCTTTGCACCACCGTCTCTTACAGGACTGCCTCTTGGGGAGTCCACTACGTGGTCTCAGCTCTCTCTTATAAGCAGTTAAGGACAAAAGACACCAAGTATCTACACTCCAGAATAATACTGCATCCTGCGTGAGCCCAGGCAGGGGCTGCGGCCTTTGAGGTTCTGGTCTGTATTTATCGCCAGAAGATTACACAATTTAAAAATGGAAAAGTAGAATCATGACTGCTTCTGGGTAGCCCCATCCGTCTGCAGGAGTCCTTGCTATCACTGTTCATGTCACTTGTCACATGCTATTCTGTGATTATTCCAAATGTACATAATGCCTGCCTTCTTTCAGTTATGTTTTGACTATCTGGCTATTGTAGAATTTTGCCACTTAACACAAACATGCTCAGCATCTGTGAATCCATTATGTAAATGCGAAGAAATAGAGTCATAGCACTAACATTTTTTTTTTTTTTTAAGATGTCTTTGAGTCTCTTTGCTTATCTTCCTGTGCTTGGAAAAACAACAACAAAAACAAAACAACAACAACAACAAACACCCACTCAGTTATAAATGTGCCTAAACCTTCAAATAGAGGCATCATGCTTAAAGGGTTTGTGATTCTGTTAAAAGAGAATCTCCGTTAGTGTGTGCACATGTGAATATTGCCTAAAGCAATAGCTGGAGAACACACACAGCTTTGCATGCTAAGTATCTTTACTAGCCATGTGAAGGCCCATGAAGCGTTGCTGAAATAGAAATGCTTGCTTCAGCAGTAAAGAACATTCCTGACTTGAAATTCAAGTAGACCCAACAATGTCCTTCTTGATTATCATCAGTCTGTGCAAGAGGAAGTCTTCTGTACTCAATGAATAATGACTTTTAGAGCTTGGATTCTGAACAAATTTGATTATATAAGAAATACTTGGTCCTTTGTTAGGTTCCTCTTGCTTTGTACACAGGCCATTGGTTCAGAATTAGTCATCATTATTACCTATATTGTTGTTATTATTAAAGTATTTTACTTAGTGTATGCAAGTAATATTTCAAGACGGGAATGAGTTTGAAATAGCACTGGTTCATCTAAATCTGCTTTCTCATATGCACCTGCTTATAAGGTGCTTCAGTTCAGAGACTGGTCTGTAGCTACAGCAGTGTATTTTGCGCAGGTGTCTGAAGAGACCTTGCCACTTAACAACAACAGAAAGGAAACTTACTTCTTTTCAATATTTGAATGGGGAAGTTGTTAAGTCTGGTTTCAGCTCTTAGCTGCCCTTTATAGGGTTTCCAATGAGGCAGACAGAGAGTACCCATTCCATTACCTGGCTTTTGATATTGTAGTCTTGTAGTCTGTCTTAGTCTGGAAGCTCTGCTAAAAGAAAGGGGAGGGTTCAGCACCATAGAAACATGGAAGTCTCCCCTGGGCTATGGGTAGTGGCTGTGCCTGAGGTAGGTGTGTCAGCTGGGAATTGAACCCAGGACTTCTGCATGGAAGACAAGAGTTCTGCTGCTGAACCACCACCATCCTCACAGCCCTTTTCTTATGCTCTCAAAGCGCTTTCTCCTTCCCAGTATACTAGAATGCGATAGCTCACGTTCTAGCCTTTCCATCCCCGCTGAACTGTAGCCCAAGCACTTTATCTTAGGTCATATTGTGTGAGTGGTAGAGACCCTGGGACAGAAGGGTACCAAACAGTTGAAAGAAAACAAGTTCAATGTTATTAACCAAGCTTGATTACTCAGCTTGGATTGTAGTCATTCAAAACCACCTTAATTTTGGTAGGCAAGCCCTTTCATAAATCCTAGGCCTAGTCTTCAAATATATCAGTTCCCACAGCCTCCAACCTTTGGTATTTGTGCTGAATAAACAAACAGATCTGTGTAGGAAGAAGTGCAGCCAGAGTGCTCCTTGGTGGCCAGGATGGCCAAACTTTGTCTCTCATACTTCGGACATATTGTCAGGAGGGACCAGTCGCTGGAGAAGGATATCATGTTTGGTACGGTGGAGGGTCAGAGAAAAAGAGGAAGACCCTCAATGAGATGGATTGGCCAAGTGGCAGCATCAATAGGCTTAAGCATGGCAACAGTAGTGAGGTTTGTCCAGGATCGGGCAGTGTTTCGTTCTGCTGTGCATAAGGTCACTATGAGTCAATCAATACCGTCTCACTGGTACCTAACAACAAAACAAATACCTATTTGTATGGAAAAGCTGCCATTTCTATGACAGAGGAGTGAATTGTAGAGCAACCATGTACTCTTTCAACAAAATAGTCAAGCATCCCTTCAATACGCAAAGCTTACAATCCATTTATTGCTTACCACTGACTCACTGACAGTCCCATTGATCAAAAAGGCAGCAAGTGAGGAATGTACATGGAGGATATGTTCAAACCTGGCCCAGTAGGTAAATCATTTAAAAAGTAAGGGTAAAAAGAATGAAGCATTATGCCTGATTTCATTGTTTCATCCACTTTGTATGTGTGTGTTTGTGCAATTTAAATGTGAATGTTGTCGTCTTGGGTAAGAGAGATTGGATTCTCTTCTTCACACATCTATCTGTTTCTTTGGCATTGGAGAAGACTTAGTACCTTCCTTTTTGAAGTGAAGAACTCAAGTAATACTTTGCAGTGTGTCTAGGAGTGAAGATGGTGTAGACTGGTCCTCTGAGGAAAACAGAACACTCACTGCATAAACAACGTGGTTGTTGAAACATGACACAAGTTGTCACAGGTGAAAGTGTCTGTGAGCATGAGCTAGATGTGTTCACAGACAACTAGACAAGTAAATGACATGACAATGGCTGATAATAAACCGATGTTCCAGTATTAACCCAGTCCTGTGTGGTGTGGTACTGGGATACAGCACTAGACCACAAGGTCTATTTGAACTGCAAGGTCGGTGGTTCAGAGTCACCAGCTGCTTTTTGGAAACCCTGTACAGGGTCTCTATGAGTCAGAACTGACTCCACAGCACCTAAGAGCAACAAGAACGTAGCTGGCTCATGCCTTGTAGAATCATAATGAAGAGAATTATATTTTCCAAAACTCAAAATACACTTAATCCTTTTATTGAATAATAATTAAAAAAAGGATTCACAGTGGCCTCATTTGTCAAGGTGTTTGAGGAAACCACCTCTGCCACTTGATTAACTAGTAGTGTGTTAAATAGCTGTGCCAACTTTTTTTTGCATCTCAACGAAATTTGCAAGTATTTCCATCATATGCCTCTTAAGTGGAGACTATTTAACTAGCAAATATCTTAGATGAAATAATGCCGTAGCCCCACCAAGCACATTAGTAGTGTTTCATGGCATGTTTTCTAAAAATCAAATTATATTCTTGGCACTGGACACCTCCTGAGATATAATTAGGTAATTGTGGTGTTATTTGGTAGGCTATGGATAAAAGCAAATATGGTATTAACACAAAGAAAGCATAGAATGTTTTGTTTGGCCACATGCTCTCCTGCCCCTCATTGGGCTCATGGTTAGATGCCTTAAACGACTCTGATCAGGTGTCATTTCTGAAGGTGTGTGAGTTGTATGTCCTCACGTGTGAGCACTGTTTCTTACATCTTGGTTGTCATGGTTACTCGCATTACCATTGGCCAACTAACATGTAGCCTTTCTTTTTCCCTTTTTGCTGCATTAAAATGGAGCAGTAAACCTGACAGGTGAGGAATAAACAATCAATGGAGCCCTTTCCTACTCACTAGGAAATCGAACCGATACTGGGCGACTTCAAGGAATGAAGGAGGGTGGGGGTGGGGGCTGGCTATAAGGGGTGATGCCTGGCAGAAGGACAGATTGATAAAGTATGTGTGTATATAAATATATACATAGATACAAATTTGGATAGTAGAATGATCCTGGAAGACATAAAGTCAGTATGAATTTTACCTGTATGAAAAGAAAAACACAGGCTTTTTTTTTTTTTAAAGTCACATTTCGAATGCAGTAACAACCAGTCCTTTTGCTGTGCTTGTGATCGGGGTGAAATGAATGTCTCTGTGTTACTGTCTCGGCAGAGATTACATGTCAGGTGTCCCGTGAGCTGTTTTGTTTTGTTGGTTTTTACTGAAGATCAACTTTGTCAGGTTTTCTCTTAGGTCATCTCTAGATAGAAACACTGTCATATTCATACCCTGCCAATGTGAGCTCTGGTGTGGCACTGTAGGATAAACACTGGACTGCTAACCTCAAGGTCAGCAGTTCAAACACACTAGCCACTCCTTGGAAAGCCTATACATTTACACACATACACACATATGTGTGCTATTGTTCAATGCCGTTGACTTGGCTCCAACTCAGAATGACCCTGTATAAGGTTTCTAAGGTTGTAAATCCTTGCGGGAACAGAAAGCCTCATCTTTGTTCCACAGTGCGGTTCAAACCACTGACCTGGTAGTTCATTCACAGTTCAGTACTTACCATGCAAAGCCATCGTGTTCCCATAGTTGGTGGTTATGTGCCATGGAGTCGGTTCCGACTTACAGCAACCCTGTATAGAGTTTCCAAGGCTGTAAATTGTAAATGATTATGGGAGCAGAAAATCTCATCTTTCTCTCGTGAAACCACTGGTAGCTTCTAACTGCTAACTTTGAGATTAGCAGCCCAACTCGTAACCACTATGCCACCAGAGCTCCATATATAAATAAATATAAATATATATGTATGTAGGAGCCCTGGTGGGGCGCTGTGGGTTAATGCGCCAGACTGCAAAGCCATTTGAACTGCAAAGTCGACAGTTCAAGCTTATCCGTCGCTTCTCAGAAACCCTATACGGGGTCACTATGAGTTGGAACCAACTCAACAACATTTAACAACAACAAATATATATGTAGGTATAAGTTTATGTATATGAGAGGACGATAAAAAGTTCATGGAAAAATAGAATGAAAAAGTAACAGAGTTGTTCCGCTAACTTTTTGAATCTCTCTCGTATTTGTATATATTGTTCTTGAATTTTATAAAATTAATCAAGCTAAGAAAAGGTTCTTGAAGTTCACCCTACCTGCAAAGACAGTGTGTGTAACAGTGATGCTGAGTGTGTCACCTGGAGGAGCAGCAGCACATGGGAAATATTGTCAGAAATGCAGATTCTCAGTCACGCCCTCACTGCCCTGCTGTTCTGAATTGGAAACTCTGGGCCTCCCAAGTGATTCTGCTGCCGCTTTTCCCTAAAAATCAGTTACTGAGGATGACTCAGTTATGTGACCCACACTCATGAAAGTGTCTTTTCTGGGCACATCACTTTGTTGTGTAGTCAGTTCCAACTCACAGCGACCCTATGTAAAACAGAACACAGGTTTTTCAGTCTAGTCCTGCGCCAGCCTCGCAGTCTGGGCTGTGTGTAAGCTTGTGGTTACAGCCGCTGTGCTGCTCGGTCTCTCTGAGGCTCTTCCTCTTTTCTGCTGACCCTCTACTTGACCAAGCATGCGTTAAGATTAACGTTACTTAGAGGAAGCAGCTTTGCCCAGTCATATTTTGAATACCTTCCGACCTGACAAGGCTCATATTCTGGCATTAAATAGCAGACAGTGTGCTATTCTTGTCATTTTCAAAGGCTAACCTTTCAGAAGTAGACTGGTGGTGGTTGGTTATGTGCCGTGGAGTCGGTTCCGACTCATAACGACCCTGTACAAGGTTTCTAAGGCTGTAAATCTTTACAGGAGCAGAAAGCCTCATCTTTCTCCCATGGAACGGCTGGTAGTTTCGAACAGCTGACCTTTAGGTTTGCAGCCCGATTCGTAACCACTATGCTACCAGAACTCTATTCCTAATTCCTAGTCTGCCTTAGTCTGGGAGCTCTGCTGAAACTTATCCTGCATGGGTGACACTGCTGGTATTTAAAATTCCAGTAGCAGACCTTCCAGCATCCCCACCACACACAAGCCACCACAATATGTCTGACACATTGACAGACAAATGGTGGTTGGATGTCACTTTTGGTTGCTAAGTACCATCAAGTCAGTCCTGGCACATAGCGACCCTGTAGGTTTTCTGAGGAATGACTGGTGGGACTGAACTGCCGATCTTGCAGTTAGTAGTTCTGTGTTTATCCTATATCACTAGTTGTCATTAACCCAGAAGAAAAGCATATGCAACATAATTTTTCCAGGCAAGAACAAAACCTCCCTTCATCTCTCCAAAGATCCACCTTTTGCTATAACAATGTTGTATATGACACTTTTGTTATAACATCTTGCAACTTCATCACTGCCTTCTTATGCTACTAGAATGATAGACTGGGGCCAAAACTTACACACTGCCTTCTAATCCTCCTGCATGCAAAAGTCTGTTTGTATGAGCAGACTGTTTATAGCTGACTTGACCAAGGAGATATTCACCAGTAGTGGCATGATGTCAGAATCCTGACATGTTTTAACTGATGTCTCTGAATATGAATTTGTTGTTGATTTTGTTGTTAAGTGCCATAGAATCAGTTCCAACACATAGCGACCCTGTATAGGGTTTCCGAGGAGCAGTTGGTGAGCTTGAATTTCTATGCCAATCTTGCAGTTCAAATGACTTTGCAGTATGGCACATTAACCCACAGCGCCACACCAGGACTCCTTGAATAGGAATTGGTGTTGTTAAATACCATCATGTTGGTTCCAACCCATAGCAACCTTGTATAGGGTCGGATTTCAGAGGTGGGAACAGAAAACCTTCTCCTTCTCCCATGGAGTGGTTGGTGGGTGTGAACTGCCTACTTTGTGGTTCAAAGTCCAGTACTTAGCCTACAGAACGCCCCCACTTCCTATTAATAATAGTAATTTCAAATAAATAGAAATCAAAAGCACCTTCCACTAGCTGAAGACCTTTGTTCCAAGTAAATAGATGTGGCCTGCCATTGTTTATCCTTCCTGCTTTACCCCTAGATGAGAGACTAGTGAAAACAGGTTAATAAAAATAAAATGTCCCTTGGGATTCCAAGCAACCGCATGTTTTTATATCATTAGCAGTTTCTGGAAGATCTGGAATATCATGTGATCTTCCATTTCCTTGTTTACATGCAAACCCCTGAACATGATAGATAACATCTAAGAAATCAACTTGATTAGGATTTATTGTTTTTTATAGGAAAAACGAACTATCAAAGCTGTCTCAAAATCAGAATGTGCTTCTTGTCACTTTGCTTGGCACTTTTCTATGTAAAAATGAGAATGATAAGAACTCTGGAAAACATTCAGGAGGAATTTTACTATTTCTATCCTTGTTGCACCTAATTTAGATCACTGATGTAGGATAAGCTCTGGGCTGCTAGCTACAAGGTCGGTGGTTCAGAACCTACTGGTCACTCCTTGGAAACTCTGTACAGGGTCACTATGAATTAGCAACAACTCAATCCAATGCGCTTGACAGCAACACACACCATTTAGTATTTAATGGCAGGAAATTCACTTTATATCGATCTTCTGTATGGCGCAGCAGGATAATGCATGGGACCGCAAGGTCGGTTTAAGCCGCTGCTTGGAAACCCTGCACAGTGTGACTGAAGTGGACATCACTTGACAATAATGTTACTGAGGATGACTAAATTCTCATTTTTCACACCTTTCTTAGAAATTCTTTCTGTCTCAGACAACAACTGTTTTCATCCATATGTGTTTAAAAGTACTAACCATAATGTGATCATCAAACAGAGCTAAGCAAAACAGAATTTAAACAGCTAATTTTCCCACCAGACTAGAATTTGTGGTTGAGCCCTGGCATGGTGCTCTGGGTTAATGTGCTGGACTGCAAAGTCAGTTTGGACCGCAAGGTCAGCAGTTCAAGCTCACCAGTCGCTCCTTGGAAACCCATGCAGGGATGCTATGAGTTGAAACCGACTCAATGGCAGAGGATTTGTGGTAGGAGGGTGATCTGAGGTCTTTGGGGTGATTTCATTTGAGTACATCGAGTAAGGGGGATATTAGCTCTAAAATGTCACCAATTATCTAACCACGAGAGATGATTTTCAATATTCTTGATAGCAGAGAAACTGACAATAGCGCCTTTACAGATGGAAAATCCAGATTGTAGTATTGGTCTCTGACAAAATCAGTAGGGAAATTTATCTGTGCTGACTGGTGCGTGAAAAAGACAAAACCTTAGTAAGATGAGTATTTTTCAAAGTGAGAACAACCATGTGTTACACCTGGGATATTTGGTCAGCCCCTGCTCACTCATGTCCCATTAAACCATTTAGATTTTACATCATCTGGATCAAATGAATCTCCCAGTGTTGTGAGGCCAACAGCCCCAGCAGGAAAACAGTGATATTTTTAACTCTGAAAAGACTCATTGTGCCCTTCTTTCACGTGGTCTTTCAAGTCTGTCTTTCTCACTAGCCCTTCATCTCTTCCTTCCTTTCCTTGTCCATTCTGTACAACTAGAGCAGCAGTGTCTGTGGTCTCCTCCCAAATCCATGGCTTACCTCTGATTGGTTGTATGACTTGGCTGAACATTGTTTCCTAAGGGGTTACCTGACACCTTTAAGTAGAAATAGGAAATTCCGAGAGAGGTTTATCCCAGGTACTGAGAAGGCAAGGGGTCTGATAGGACTCACCCAAGACAATTCAGATCATTTGGATGTTTCCCCAAAGGCACTGCACATGAGCACATCAAATGCCTTCTCCTTTATCGTCAATTTTTCTTCATCCCCTGGTTAGTTTTATTTTATACAGCTGAGCGGGGATGGAAAGAAAGGCTATTTAACAGGAACCTTCGGGCTGCCCACATAACAAATGACCTGGGTGGCATTGAATGCAAGCCCATTGCCGTAACATCACTAATGAGCTATACCACCGCCATATTGGAGAGAAAAAGGGAGGGCCTCTAAGCACTGTGTTGCATCTCTTCCCCAGATAAGAAGGCCTTTGCTCTGAGCACGAGTGAGGTGCAGTGATTATCACTGTAGCCCGGAGATTCCAAGAATCAATATTTTGAATGAATCACACTTTCAAAAAGACTGCTGTTCGTTAAATGGGGTTTTAATCTAATTCAATTTAGAAGAAAATAATCCGTTATCACTATGCTTATTTGGGTTTTGGGGAAAAAATGATTAAAGAAATCTTAGAATAGACCAGCCATTTCTTGCTTAGACATTTGTTAAAATTATAATGTGACAACTTAAACAAGGATCTTTAATAAAGATAGTCAATAGCTTTTAAAATAAAGATTAAATGGATTGTGTGAAGAATCATATTTTTAATCAGGCACTGTTAATAATAGTTCATGTGTCTTAATTGACTATCTGGATTATTGGATTTAGCCGCTGTATTGAATTACGCATTCTCTGATTATGATTGCCTTTCATGAACAAAAACAAATGAGTCATAGTTAAACAACGTATGTAAGCAACCAACAGAGTTTTTCCCCTTGAAATTTGGAAGAGAAAAGGCATGTTGGTTTTGTATCATGCTAATTCTTCCCCACATGCTATGATGACTTAGCCTCCTCTTAAAGCTCTGAAAACATTTACTGCCTATGGAAAAGTCCCACCCATCTCCATGGTAGACTCCAATTGCACTGCAAGGGACAAAGGGGAGCTTTAGATGATCAGCTTTAAGCCAGATAGTTTCAGAGCTTTTCTGAATGGTAGGAGCAATTATAGGGTAAGTGAACCCTACCCTGCTTCCACCATCTTATTGCCGTTGTTAAGTGCCATTGAGTTGGTTCTGACTCATAGCTACCCTGTATAGACTCTCTGAGAGTGGCTGGTAGGTTTGAACCGCTGACCTTGCTGTTCAAACTGACCTTGCAGTCCATTGCATTATCCTTAGAAAAAGAGAATTGCTGAAGAAAGGTCTGAGTATGAAGAGACCTAAAAAGGAAAGATTCCATTATCTGTTAATTCTGTTTTCCCATGAGCATTTCAAAGTGCCCTCGTATACCTCACCAGCCCCCTTCCTAAAGGCAGAGTCACTGAATTATTGCCACTAGACCTATAGGAGGATTTAGGGATCATCTATTTAACTAAAATCTTAGATGTGAGGTCACCCCATCGACTAAGAAGAAGCAGTGTTTACAAGGTCAGAAAGCTAGCTCGTTGAGCAGTTTTAAAAAGTGTGGACCTGGGTGAGAAATTGCTGCTTTATTATTATTGTTACCTTTTTTTTTTTTTTTAAATCAACTTCTATTGTTTGTGTTTTATTCTGAAATTTCTGTTTCCCCCCTATAGGAAGAGGGCTGAGTCCGACTCTAGAAAGAGCAGCTTACCAAACAGTAAGGAGGTCCCTTCACACCACCCAACAGACCCCGTGGAACTGAGGCGCCTTAATTTCCAAACCCCAGGTAAGGGACATGACTCATCTTGTCCGCCCTCCAGCCTTTATTTAAAGTTGTATAGCCCAGCTGATCAGGCCTGTAGAAATGGATGTAGCACTGTGCTTTGAGCCATTTGTTTAGTCTTTTATTTTAGTGTTATTGAAACTCACCAGAGCAAAGATCCAAAAGGAAATTAATTTATATTTGCAAGTCTGAGAAGTAGTGATGAAATTTTCCTTGCGATGTTTGGAGGAAGGAGAGTGTTTAAAATATTTGTAAGAATATTGACCACTTTCATGTGTGTAATACAGTTTATTGCTCTCAGTGACGACATTCTGAAGAGAATGCAAGTTGCTCATCTCACAGAACGGATGGCTGGATAGATGCTCCTGCCTTCCTTTAGGAAAACAGATTTGGTCCCATGTGTTTCCTGTTTATCATTGTCTGATGATATTTCAAAAGAAAGACAGAAAAAGAAAGTATAGAGGGAAGGAGAGGGGGAGGGAGAGAAAGAGGAAGAGAAGATGGAAAAGAAAGAGAAAGACAGCAAAGAAGAAAAGAGGGAGTGAAGAGGAAAAGGTAGGCCAATGAGGCAAGGTTAATCTTTTGAGCATTACCTATAACTAAGGTCACTGAATAATTCAAGCCTATTATTCAGGAGACACCTGAAGTTGCTGAGGATAAGAAAATTGTTTCTTAAAAGAATGAACATAAAGTGCTTCAACACAGGAAAAAATATGATCCCGTCTAAAGGGCATTTTGTACAACATTGTGAATTCAAGCCCCATTTTATTTTACTTTCCAGCCAATCAATCTTGCTTAAACCACATGGTAAATAGTGAATGATATAGACTGTTGTCGTTAAGTGCCGTTGAGTCCGTTCCAACCCATAGTGACCCTGTATAGGGTTTCCAAGGAGCAGCTGGTGAGCTTGAACTGTTGACCTTGCAATTCAAACAGCTTTGCAGTCTGGTGCATTAACCCACAGCGCCACACCAGGACTCCAGTAAATGGGTATTGTTGTTGTTGTTAGGAGCCATCTAGTCCGTACCGACCCATAGTGACCTTAACACTAAAAATATGGACCTGATTGGCAGTGGCTTAACAATTGATGCTAATGAACAAAGTAAAGCTGTGATCTGATGGGTCTTTTGGATGAAAATGTGGCTGCAAATTCTGCTCCAAACTGTTGACAACTTTCTTAGATTTCAAAGTGGATACTATCCCTCACAGTGTGGTGCACCCAGATTTATTAAGCTGCTTGTTGGCAGTGAATGCTTTTCAATGGAAAATACATGTATATTGTGTTTAGTATGCATTCTTTTTTACCTGTAAGTGTATCCTTGTTGTTATTGTTGTCAAGTGTGATAGACTCAGGTCTGACCCATAGAAACCCCATATGGGTTTCTGAGAAGGGGCCAGTGAGCTTGAACCAGCGTCTCCCAGCAAACTTGCCCTAGGAACTTTTAGGCCTCGGCTTTAGAAGAAGTTTTTGTTTTACTATTTGTCCAGGGGTATCAAGGGCTCATGTATTAAGTTAATATCAAACATAACTGAGTAATTTGATAAAGAAAAGCCATGTTTGCCAGGTGGCCAGAGTTTGTTCCTCAGAGAGATTTGTTCCTAGAACCTTAAGCACTGCCAACACAGTGGAGACATTAAGAGCGGCACATAAGAAACCATTTTCTCAGAAGCTACAATTACTGGAGTTCGAAGCATAGAATGAATTAATAGGACCAAAGCAAATTATACAGAGCTAGCCCAACAGTAAGTTCGTAAAAGCCAATGAACCCAGGACATCCGGAGGTTACTTCCTTGAGCCCTCAGGGTCCCTGGCTAGCAAGCCTGAGTGGCGCCGCTGTGTTGGTTTATCATCCATGACACAGGGCCTCAACACCTCAGTGATTGCGGTCTGCAACAGTCAAGTGCGATAGAGTCACGTCCGACCCATAGGAACCCCATATAGGTTTCTGAGAAGGGGCCAGTGAGCTTGAACCACCGGCCTTGAGGTTCAAACCAACTTTGCAGTCCAGCACATTAACCCAGAACATCACACCATGACTCCTAATAGCTAGTAATTCGTTACCTTCAAAAAGAATGTCCATCATTTTCAAAGTGCCTGTATAATCAGAATTAATGGGGCTCGTTGTTCTTATTAGCTCTACTTCAAATGATCTTGTTACTGTTGTTTTTGTTAAATGTTGTGGAGTTGGTTCTGAGTCATAGTGACCTTGTATAGAATTTCCAAGGCATGGTTGCTGGGTTTGAACCACTGACCTTGCAGTTAGCAGTTCAAAACTTATCCTACAATGCCATGCCATGATCCAAAAGAGCTTTTTTACTTGCTGTTGGTAAATGTCATTGAGCTGATTTTGACTCCTGGTGACCCTATGTAGAGTTCAGTGGCTGTAAATCTCTGAGAGAGTAGAAAGCCTTGTCTTTCTCCTACCAAATGAGCTTAGACTTTCTTTAAATCAGTTTTTAAAAAACAAAGATGCACCTTCATCAGCATAAATTAGGAAGAAAATGGTCATATAGACAAAGTCTCCCATATGCATTTAAAAAAGGCTAATGAAGGTAGACTATAAACATGCACACAACCATTGAACCAACCATTGTGATTTCCATCATGCTCCATGTGAACCTACCTGCAGATGCCCCATTGCTATTGTTGTTGTATATGCTGGAGACTCATAGCAACTCTCTATAGGATTTCTGAGGAGTGGCTGGGGGGTTTGAACCACTGACCTTATAGTTCACAGTCCAGTGCTGAGCCTATGTATAATGCCACACCTGATATGGATTGAGTTACTGTAGCAAGCCTTCTTAGTTCAGCCCTTTTAGAAGTAGGAATGACTAATTCAGGCTCCAAGCAAGCTCTCAGTTAATGGGCCCAGGCCTTGGGGTTCTTTTCAGTTTGGCTAATTCATTTTGTAAAACACCAGTTGCCTTTGAATGGACTCCAAATCACAGGGACCTCATGTGTGCAGAGTAAAACTGTTATACAGGGTTTTCAAGTCTGTGACATTTTAGAACAGGTGCTTGACCTATCCCCTGAGGTGCCTATGAATGGCTTTGAACTGCAACCTTCAGATTTAGCTATTTTTGCCACTCGGGGACTTCTTAAGTCCAAGGTCATCATTTGCTACATGGTTTGTTGCACATCTTATGTCTTTACCCTTTAGACTAGCAGGGTTATTGGAAAAAGTGATCAGATCTCTCCATCCCTTGCTGCTCCATACTGCCCGGGCCCAGTGGCTACTATGTGAAGTGTGACCTCTACTTGTATCCCCCTTGGTCTTCTAGCAGACACATAAGGACAGTATAGGGCTGACCAGAAAGGCAAAGGTAACCCCAAAGAAGAGAGTCAGTGGAAACCCTGCCCCTCATCTTGTTCAGCACTAACATAGAATATTTTCAGGCACAAATAGAAAGTATGAATGGAAAAGTGTAGAAATGATTCTTAGCAGAGAGCTGGTAACAGTAAATATGGGAATAGGAATGCCTTCAACCAAGAGACCGCCATCTTCAACAAATGTATCATTCTGCAAGTGATGTTCCCATATAAATAATAGGCCCAGATGTATAAAGCACAGAAATGATGAAATTAAGTAAAGCATTTCTGACATAGCGCTCTCTTGCAAAAATGTGCAACATACATGTTACTTGTGTAAAAGTATGACATTTTTCACGTTTACAGATACATTGCAAATATGGCCAAATCCAAGAATCCCATTAATCTAATTTTCCCTTAGGTCCATTTATGTTGTTGCTATTGTTGTTAAGTGCAGTGAAGTCAACTTCAACTCACAGCGATCCTGTATAGGGTTTCCGAGGAGCAGCTGGTGAGTTTGAACATCCAACCACTTGGTTCAACCCGACCTTTCAGTCCAGTGCTTATCCTACAATGCCACACCAGGATACCAGTCCATTTACAGAGGGAAATATAATGTATGTCGCTGGAAATAGAATGAGTGTTAGGATTAAAGTGATGATCTGTTGTATCACCAGTCACTTGACAGAATTAGAATGGGGACCTACATATATAAGACAACAAAACAGATTGCCACAGTGGCCACAGCAATGGGCTCAAAGGTAACAAGTAAGAGGCTAACTGAGGACTGGGCAGTGTTTGATTCTGTTGTGCCTATGCACAACGAAACTGACTCAATGACACCTAACAAGGAGCTCCAGTAGTGGAGTGGTTACGAGTCGGGCTGCCAACCTCAATATCAGCAGTTCAAAACTACCAGCAGTTCCGCAGGTGAAAGATGAGGCTTTCTGCTCCCGTAAAGATTTACAGCCTCAGAAACCCTGTGCAGGGTCGCTATGAGTCGGAACCGACTCCATGGGACTAATAACAATAACAACCACAACAATGATTATAAGAAGATATCCTTTGAGACTTATCATCTCAAATAGATAATGACATCAATTCAAATGGGCAGTAGGATAAAGTGGGAAGATGCAGAAAGGAGAGAGGGATGCACGAGAGAGAAAGGACAGGAAAGGAGTAATCGTTCTGAGACTGGAGCTCATTTGTTCGCTCAGTAAGCAGAATGTTCTGCCCTTTAGCTCAGGTAAGCAACACACTTAAACCCGATTTGTTGAAATCATCTGTTTGCTTCCCAAACTCTATGCTGTGGCCTGCTGTCCAGAAAATTTGACCAATTTACAAAGGTAGGAGACTCACAGCTGTACATGAGAAATTCATAGAAATGTGACCATTTGCTTCAGCCAGTAAAGCTTCCAGCCTGTGGCTACGAATTGCCTTAATTTGTTGTCAATAAGCTGAGAGCAAAAGGTAGGATTGTTAAGTAACCTCTTTGTACCTTTTCCTCTTCTATTCACCAATAACCAGGGTTTTTCTGACTGATAAAATAAAATGGCCCTTTGCTGATGTTGCACAGAAATTGCTATGATGCTACATAATTTTTGGATTTGAATTCCCTTACATTTAACATAGCTGGAAATTGCATTTTTATATAGCATACTTCTGAATATATAACCCCTTATCTTTAAACCTA